ATGGAGGGGGAAAACTTGGTCTCCACAATGCAACAGCTTGCCAGCTACCTGAAAGTTGAAATCAAAGAAACAGATATAGACGTCGTGCACCGAGTGCCATCAAGGAACGCGTCAACACCTAACATCATAGTTAGGTTTCTTTCGAGAGCTGTGAAAGATAATGTTCTGAAGACTGCTAAGAAGCAACGACTTAACACGACAGCTTTAGGTTTTCAGGGCATCGCATCTCCAGTGTACATAAATGAGCACTTGTGTCCGGCAAACAAGGAATTGCTAACAGCCGCTCTAAAGACAAAGCGGGAAAAAAAGTGGAAGTACACCTGGGTAACTGGTGGAAAGATTTTGATGCGGAAGGCGGATAATTCACGTGTGCTTCACGTCACATGTGCTGAGGATCTTTCCAAAGTTGTTTGAGGATTGCCTGCTTGTTTCTGTAACCTGGAGTTTCCTATACTTTTAAATGGCGTTTTCTTTTTCTGAGGTTGAAAACATATGGCTGCAGCAGGATCATTTCGCAGTATTACATTGTAATATTCGCAGCATAAAAAAGAACTTCGATCATCTGCTTTCGTACTTATCACAGCACTCGTTTAAATATGATGTCATCGCTATAACTGAAACTTGGCTTCGAGAAAGCGAATCAGTTCATTTACCCGGCTACGTCATGCTTTCGCAACCTAGAAACAGTGCTACACGAGGAGGGGGTGTGGCGCTATTTATCAAAGACTGCTTTAGTTTCGTTCACCTTAGCAATAGCTCATGCTGCAGTTCATCGGCAGAGACTCTTTTTATTCATCTTCAGAATGGTGTCATCATCGGTGTAATATATCGTCCACCAATTTCCAGTGTGGCTGATTTCATTACTGTGATGGAAAGTACCATGATACCCATTGTGGCCTCTAAAGCACCTATTATTGTCTGCGGTGATATTAACATAGACGTGTCTGGAGATACATGTGATGATTACGTGTTTTTGCTACAATCAGTTAATCTGAGAAATGTTATTTCATCACCCACTCGCATAACAGACCACTCGGAGTCGATTATTGATCACGTGTTGTGTAACGCTGACCTGGATGTATCGGCAGGCGTATACGCTGTTGCTATTGCGGATCACAATCCCACCTTTCTATTTTTACCCCAGAAATACATTTGTGCTCCTGCCATACCTGCCATTAAACGAACAACACGTGTCGACTATAATTCCGTGCAAAAACTACTACAAGGAACGAATTTTGATGCCCTCTATGATGAAGACGTGGACGTCGAGTGTGATAACATTGTAAAATGCATTATGGATGTCATTGAACGATCAACGCGTAGCTGTTCGCGCCGAAATTATGACCATGCCATATGTCCATGGATGAATAGAAATATACTTGAGGTTTTGAAGCTGAAAGATTTTTACTACGACAAATGGAAAAATAACAGGAGCAATGAATACTACCATCAAAATTTTAAGCTTTACAGAAACAAGTCAGTAGCAATGATAAGAAAATCCAAGAAGTGCTACTATACCAACCTAGTGAAAACAAATGATGGTAACACGAAGAAAATATGGCAGATTGTTAAAGACGTCACTGGCATGGGTAGCAAAGAACGCATTACACCTGATAATCCAACTCGTGAAGTGGCCGACAACTTTAACGATTACTTTACTAATATTGGTCTCAGCCTTGCGAGGAAGTTCCCTACTCATATGCAGAATTTAAATGCACCCTGTACTGTTACCAATAATTTTGATTTATGTGATGTAACTGAGGATGACATCCGACAAGTAATTAATAAGTTACCAGGGAACAAGGCAGCTGGACATGACGCCATATCATCAAGGATTTTAAAGGAGAATATTGATGTATTGTGTGGTCCCTTATGCCATATATTTAATCATGCATTTTCCTCTAAAACTTATCCTAGTATACTTAAGACCGCCAAAGTAATACCAGTGTACAAATCTGGTGATCGGAATCTTCCGGACAGCTACAGACCAATATCTGTTCTGAGTAGTATTAACACTACGCTTGAAAAACTAATATCGTCGCAATTAAGGCGCTTCCTGGGTGAACAGAATGTACTTTGTCCCCAGCAACACGGCTTTGTTGCAAACAGGTCCACTTCAACTGCTGTTTCGATGCTTACGCAATATATTAATTCCGCGCTACATGAAAACAACATAGCAATAGCAGTATTTTTAGACATACGAAAGGCATTTGATGCTATTAGTCATTCCATTTTACTGGAAAAAATGCATTCTTATGGGATAAAAGGTAACTCGCTTGATTTTTTTTCTAGTTATCTATCGGCACGCAAACAAAAGGTAGTCATTGGTGACATCAAATCATCCTACGGTTATATTAAATGCGGGGTGCCACAGGGTTCAGTTTTGGGCCCTATATTGTTCTCTCTTTATATTAATGATGTCCCGCGATCCCTACAAAGGTCAAGGGCACTGATGTACGCGGACGACACTGTTTTAGTTTTCACAGGACACTCCTTAGCAGATTTACAAAATGACGCGATGACCGATTTATCGAACATTTCGAAATGGTTTGCCAGGAATCAGCTGACTGTTAACTGTACTAAAACAAAGTATATGGTGTTTCACTCTCGTAGGAAACATATTGACGCTGAATCTCTTAACCTAACAATAAACAACACTCCTATTCAACAAGTTCCTTGTTTTAAATATTTAGGCGTCACTTTTGATGAACACTTACACTGGCATGAGCAAGTACAAAGTGTGTGCGCAAAGCTAGCCTATGGCTGCTATTCTCTAATAAAAGCTCGCCAATATTTTCCACAAGCTATTCTCCGCACACTCTACTTTTCATTGTGTCATTGTCACATAGGTTACTGTCTGGAATCGTGGGGTGTGACGTACAACAGTTATCTAAAAACTCTTGAGCGACTTCAAAAGCGTACACTGAAAATCATAAGCCAAGGTGAATCAGTAAGTAATATTTTCCAATCACAACGCATTCTCTCAGTTCCGATGTTGCGTGACTACAAAATTGCTGTTTCAGTAAATAACATAATTAATAGAAATTCACCTTTGCCTGCTGATCTTTTTTCAATTCCTAAACGCAATACGCGACATGCTTCGAATGGTAATTTCAATCTGCCCAAATGTTTTAATGTTTACGGAGAAAGACTGATACAGTTTAGTGGAACAAAAATATGGAACACGGTCCCCCTAGAGATTAAAACGGCACGTAATTTCAGCATGGCATGTAAATCATTTTTTCTGTGGAGTCAAGACATGTAAGCATGTGTGTGTGATTCGATTTTCATTGTATTTTTTTAATAAGTGCCTATGTATAGAAACTAGCTGCAAGCTAATAAGTATGCATATCTGCAAGAAAAAATGTATTACTGTGTTATCTGTATCACATGATTGTTTTTTTTATGTTGTTACCTCAGAGCTGACCTGTACACTTTTTTATGTTGCACATTGTATTGGACCGTCCACTAGCCACTTTAGGCTATCGGTCCAAATAATCCCTGTAATTGCATATATCTATTTATGAAAATAAAGCTTCATTGATTGATTGATTGAAAAAAAAAACCTTCCTAAAACCAAGGAGGTTATGCCAGCGAGTATAACGTAGCAACCCTTTCTTGTCAGATAGTGCTCAATGTACATGCCAATGGCTGCTAGCGGGAATGAGAGACAGGAGAATTCGGCTTTTAGTTAACGCGCACACTGCGAATTTTTTATTGTTCAACAGTTCACAGAAGAAATCTCTCACCGGTACCACCTTGGAGGTCAAAATGTAAGACTGGTTACACACTATGACTACTACTACGACTACGAGGAACGAACGGGTGCCGTTATAAGGAGCTTCTCCCTTAAAATACGAACGCTATTGTCTAACTATACATTCACTGGTGGTATATATAGGGTCCCCGCGATATGGCTCCGTAGCCTTCGCTCCAATGCCAAAAAAAGTTGTCGCAGAGTACAGCAATGATTTAAGAATAACAGCGCACGCGCAGTGCCTGAACAGTGTTAGGCCGGTGCCTTACTGAACGCCATTGCATGACACGCATAGTTTTGTTGAATTATCATAATGAGAAATGAATACCGTAGTCCATACACTCATAGCATTTCTTGATACCCATTGTGAATGACGATATAATACTGTTAATGAGCTATGCTTGGTGTGCGCAGTATTACGTATATTCTTGTTCCACCAAACGTGGCCACGTGCTTTCTGAACCAGTGGTGAGAGCAGTTTTGCTGGATTCGGCAACTCACGACTAGCAACATGAACGATTGTAACCTAACACAAAACTTGTAGCATAAAAAACGTGAATGTATAGTGCACGAAAGACATTTTCTTACTTTTTGTAGTTTAAGTAGCACAGGGCTGTGTGCCGACTTGCTTATTCACTGACTTGGGCGTTGTTATACAGCATTACTTTTATATCGATGAAAATCGAATATATGGCACATGACGCACAATTTCGCTATTGCCGTTAGTGTCACCTTTTTTATGTCACAATTTTTAACTTCTTTCCTCGCCTGGTCTGTCCTATGTGCAAGCGAAAGCAGCAGACAGGTGCATTTAAAGCAGAGATGAAAGGCCCTAGCTGGCTCCCTCGGGCAAACGAGCAGGAAAGGGTAAAGAAGGGGGGCGGGGGGTCGATAAGTAGGCTCTGGACACAATGGTACAGTAGGGATCGCTGGCGCCAGCGCTAATTCTACTTAGATCAACAGAAGGCTCACACCCTTGTACGTGCTGCTCTCTCGCCGCTTACTTCCCGTTGAAACGACAGACAGCATGAAAGGTGGTTCAATGCCTGGAAAAGCCGTATTCCTTTACGTCCGCGTTTTGCTGAGTGACGCTGAATTGTAGCGTAATGCTGTTGGCTGCTAGCGTTATAACACTTCAAATTGTTGCCATAGCCTTCATTGCTGTGCCCTTGCGGTGAAACTTTGACTTTATAACCACTTACTCATTTGCTTGTTTTGCTCGTTATATCAACTGAATACGCAGACAAACCTCAGGTTACTCTCGAGTTTGGAGCGGGCCTCAAGGAGTCAATGATCTACGAAGGCCACGACATATTCTTTGTGTGCAATGCGTCCGCCTATCCCAGCATCACGGACGTCGTGTGGAAGCTTAACGGCGTCCCTCTGGAACAGCGGCACGAGCAGCACAGGTTTCTGCCGCAGCAGTCGGCCAACACTTCCAGCTCAGCCTCGACGGCTCGGGGACCGCTCATCGTCAACCAGCGCTACCTGGTGTTGCGCAACGTGCAATCTCCCGACTCGGGAAACTACTCGTGCACAGTGACGAACCCCGAGGGAGTGACCACGTCCAAGACCCTTCAGATACGCATACAACGTGAGTATGGCGCCATTCACCAACGCCCGTTCCGAAGTACTTTTTATTTGCTACAGTGATGATTATCTGAACAACAGCGATCATGACTTCTCACCGCCTATTGCGATTGTTACCGATGCTTGTACTGCACCAGAGAAAGAGTGTAGCTTTTCAGCGTTCACTTTTGTCACACAAAATAATCATAGCTAATTTGCGTCTCTTTCCTCACTTTACGCACGCGCACTTGGTAGATAAAAAATGGCGAAATCACCAATGACACAGTTTTTCTGGCAGGAATGTGCTGAGCAAAGAATTTCAAAACGGCAAATTCAGGAAATTCAGATAGCATCTATCTTTGCTGTGAGAAAAACTTTTCAAAGTGAGCATTTGCTTTCAGATTTCGCATGGAAGCACTACATCTAAGATGGGCCCTTGGTTGGAAAACATTTATTCACAGTCAGTGGACGTGAATTTCGTAATCCATTGTTGCTTCCGGTTGCTACGTTCTGAAGCTAGAGTTGCACTTGACACACCTAAATCTCGACAGCCGCCACAAATAGGCCTGTTTATTGCAGATATTCATAGGGATATGAGCTATATTTGAAGAGTCAACTGAATCATTGTTTTTATAGACTACACTGTAAGCTCTGGTTGACAATTGTATTGTCAGTGATAAGGCCTGAGTGCTGTACGATGCCAGTGCACGTTTAAAAAAGAAACAAAAGGCGGTAAGCATTTCCAGAGGCCTCCAGAACGGCCTCTTATAACTAAGTTATGGTTGTGGCACTTAAAATGGCACATATAAAAATGAAAATCACTCGTGCTTTTCGCTAGTATTCAGAATAGATTGTCGCGAAAGGATTAAAAATATCAATCTCTGACTGAGTTGACCATTAACCTTCGATTTTGTGTTACTATTGTATATATCGTGCTTCTTCAAGTTAGGTATAGAATCGCATAAACGTTCGCAACAAACGAATCAAGGAAAACACAGCTGCAATAGTCAGAACGTTCTGTTCACATTACTTGCATTAGAAGAGTTCAGCCAAAAGTTAATTGAAAAGAAGAGGGAGAGAATAAGTCACAACATACAACACACGAAAGGGAAAGTGAAGGAGCCGTCAAACAATAGATAGATAGATAGATAGATAGATAGATAGATAGATAGATAGATAGATAGATAGATAGATAGATAGATAGATAGATATAGATAGATAGGATAGATAGATAGATAGATAGATAGATAGATAGATAGATAGATAGATAGATAGATAGATAGATAGATAGATAGATAGATAGATAGATAGATAGATACTCTTGTTTGTCGATAGTGAGAAAGTGCTCGTAGTGCAACATTTGTGCGAGGAAGATTCGCTATATCGGCGTTATGGTGGTACACGCTGGGTCTTGAGAAGCACGTATACCCGCACATGTGTGCCCCCCTATTTTTTTCCACATGCCGCAGATTCTCCTCGGTGTCAGAACCCACAGCAGCAACACCATGCCAAGGTGGTCTACACGGCTCCGTTCGAGGAAGTGACTCTGTCATGCGATGTGGAGGCTGACCCCAGCACCAACCTGACGTTCCGCTGGTCCATGAAGGAGAGCCACAGAGCTTCCATCGCCACGGCGTCTTTGTCTCCTGGAGACGCAGTGCTACGAGAGGCGGCGTTCGCGCGCGACTTCGACGGCATGGCTAGAGCGTTCGCGTCACGCAGCGTGCTCACTTTCGTTCCTCTGCCCGAAGAGCTTCACTCGACCTTCCAGTGCTGGGCAAAGAACCCCGTTGGCATCCAGAAAAAGCCTTGCCTGTTTCGTCTACTTCCGAAAGGTTAGTTCTAACCAGTTGGAAAGCAGCGACAGCCTTGATCTATCTATCTATCTATCTATCTATCTATCTATCTATCTATCTATCTATCTATCTATCTATCTATCTATCTATCTATCTATCTATCTATCTATCTATCTATCTATCTATCTATCTATCTATCTATCTATCTATCTATCTATCTATCTATCTATCTATCTATCTATCTATCTATCTATCTATCTATCTATCTATCTATCTATCTATCTATCTATCTATCTATCTATCTATCTATCTATCTATCTATCTATCTATCTATCTATCTATCTATCTATCTATCTATCTATCTATCTATCTATCTATCTATCTATCTATCTATCTATCTATCTATCTATCTATCTATCTACCTATCTATCTATCTATCTATCTATAACTTGTTCCTCTGAAGCATTCTTGCTATACTTTATCTTTATCGACCCTTTTTATTTCTTTTTATGTGTCTATATTTCTATATTATCTATCATTATCATATTTTCGTATTATCACAATATCTATTATCATACTATAATCGTCAATTTATTTATGTTCTTCTTAGAGAGGGACTGTCTATTCGCAATCTGCAACACGCCACTTTGAGTTCCACGTCCGCGCCCGGGCCTAGAGACGCACGCCTTCGCCACCTCAGAGCAACTTGTCACTGTTCGCATTGCCATCCGGACTTACATGGGATAATACAAGAACAGTCCCCGAAACCTTGTTCGACATCATGCAAGAAGTCGTCTTGTTTGTTTATTTTGTTTCGGCCGCAGGTGCGGCCTTCATCAGAAGGATTCTGATGAAGGCCGGACCCGCGGCGAAACGTCAATAAAATCACTTCGTACGTGCATCTTCTCCACTATATATATGCCCTAGTCAACTACCTTTTTTTTTTGTGCCGTATTCGCAGAAACACCGAGTCTTGTGCGCGAGTGTCAGCTCCTAAATAAGACGCTGACGTCATTGCTGATTGAGTGCCAGCGGCGTAGCGATGACCATCACACGTTCGTCATGGAGCTGCACGACGCCAACAGCAACCTGCTCGTCCGACGTGTCACTTCCCCGACGCCGCGTTTCCAGCTGAGCGAGCTTCGACCGACGACGTACTACACCATCCTGGTGTACACCACCAATGGTGTAGAAACCAGCCGTACTCTGAACATCTCCATCTCTTCTACGGAAGCCGCTATGGCCAAGACTTGTAAGTGGTGTCATTTTTTTTAGTTATCTGCACTGTGACTTCTCGAGTTTTGTAATGCACCTTTGGCCGATGTCGACACGGAGAAAAAACATTAAACAGTCACACTGAAAATAAATGGGATGTACCAATGAAGTCCAGCTAAACTTATTTTCGAATGTCTCAAACTACGGCAGATTATAATACAACGGCAGTATCTTTTGTCCTTGCTAAGTATCTATACGTTTCTGGCATTCACTGTTTATGAAGTGCAACGTATGCCACCTGTATGCTAGATACAACTGTATAAATAAAGAGGTTTGTAATATCTATGCTGGTTTACTCATCTCGAAAGCACGGAATTTCCTGTCCTCTGCAGCAGCTGAAGTTTCACTGTCACGTCTATGATTTTGTGTGCCAGAAGAAGGAGCATTTTCATGAACCAGGCAATTAAGAATGATTCTCATTTCTCGATTCAGCGGCGTAGCATACCCGTAGATTGATATCATTGTTTTGCAGTTCAGCTTGCATTTCAGGGTCTGGAGAGCTTTTTTCTTTGAGAAGTGGTGTCCTGTGAGTAATCCCAAAGAAAAAAAAAACAGTCGCAAGGTTTTCTAAACATCGCTACGCGGACACAATCGAGTGGTGATCACAGTTATTGTAGACTAAACCGGAATTACGTCAAAATAAAGACGTAAGCCTGCGTAGGAACGTTGTTTCTTAGTAAAATAACCGCTATAAGTAAATATAAAAACCGCTATATTATAAAAATACTTTTTAGTGATGAGTAAGAAAAAGAAACAGTATTATGTTTACAGACTAGTTTCTAGCCTCGGCCAGCAATAAATTCTACACGCTCGGGTTGCTAAAATAACTACATCCATACTTGTCCCCCTTAACGAAGCTATTCAAGCTTGTTATGGCATAATAAATGTTTAAAAAAGCAGCGTGCGTCAGCTACATTGAAGATGTATAACATACGCACCGTTTCTCCCCGTTTTGTTTCGTTCCCTCAGATGAGAAAGAGGGCGCGCTATCCAGTCTTAACCTGGGAGCCATAGTAGGACCCGTGGCCGGGAGCATCGCCATCCTCGCAGCTGCCGTCTGCATTGCATGTTTCTGCAAGAAGCACCACAGACGAAAGGTAATGCATTGCCGAACGTGGAATTTCGTTTTTCTTCTATGTTGTTGTCAATATGTTATTTTTTGTTTTGCATGTGTGTTACAAGCGCTGGTTTTTGCAACCACATTAGCATCACTGCTAGTTCCTTTCGCGTGTCCAAAGATTGGCTAGGGAACTAGTAGTTAGTCTGATGATGTGACGAAATCACAGCAATGTTCAGCGAGGTGTTCTAGTTCACTGGCTGTGCAGTAACGTAGCAGCAGCCGGAGTGTTATATTAAGCTGAGACACACACCTTGTGCAAGTGTGCAACACACACCTCGTGCAAAGACACACACCTTGTGCGAACCTTGTACGACACCTAGTCGCGCTTTGTACGCTCCCTCCACCAAGATAATCGGATCTCCACACATATAATGTTGAAGCTCAGGTTATCCAAAAATGACAAGCAGCACAATGTGCTCGTTGACTTCGTTTACTCCCGCTTGCTCACCATGTGTCCGTTCTGTTCACGTAATTGTTATGAAAGACAGATATTAGGTAAAATACATTTGTGCTTGTTTGTGCACACATGACAGACCGCCAGTGAATTTACTTAGGCGGATACTAATTGTGGAAAATAAAGCCGATAAAACTTCATTTTTGTGATTGTTTAATGTGCTACCATTTTTACGAGTGCTTTGACTTGCGGTAGGTTTCAATATTGCTACGCAACACAGTACACCCCCACCAGCTGCTTTAATTAGTCTGCTTCAAAATTGACCCCTCAGGAGAAGCCTGTGGTTGAAGAGGCACCCGCTACCAGCCAAGGGGTGAAAGCCGAGATGTTCTCCATACCACTGGGCACCCAGACTAAAGTCGACTGCAAAAGAGATGACATCGGCTCCGCAGTCGAGGTTGTGGCACACTACAACCAGGACATCTCCGAGAAGCTTCCCCTGCAGTGCTATGGAAGTGTGCTATGAGCTTCCACGCCACTCAGCCTTCCGTCTTGACCACCCACTGGGTCATTGTGTGAATAGAAAACGTTGGTGCGCGGGACTGGGACTCCTTCCGAGGACATGATATACGGACTGTTACTTCAGTGATATCACTGTCGAGGCTATGGCCCGTATTCACAAAGGCTCCTCAATTCGAAACTTGACGTCGAAGGATCCCTGGGGACTGTGTTGGGCTGAGATTTCTGCAACGCGAAAACACTCAAGGATCTCTTGAGGTCGAGTTTTGAGTCGGAGAGCGTTTGTGAATACGGCCTATGTTTCGCTATTTTGTTTGGACCAAGCGCACGAGGTTGGCGCTACAATGAAATACCCAGCGCCATTGCCTGAAAAATATGTCCAGTTTGGTGCTTCCCTGAAGAAAAAAAAACAGTACGGAAGCTGCAACCTTGTTTACTAAAAGCAGTGCTTCTGTGGACCAAGTACGTGAAAGTGCGGCAACAAGTGTGTACAGTGAAGATTGTTACTCCAGCGTAGAATGTCACTTCAATCACGTAACACTTGTTCGTTCATAACACTAAGCCGGATACAAATAATAAAGTATTTTTAAGAACACATACACAATCTCATAATTTGCGCGTTCTCATTGTGCGAGTTCACTTTCTCGTTGTCAAAACAGTGATATCTTGAATAAGCAATGGCAACGACGTGCTGAAGCTATCATTCTCTCGGAACGTTTCGCGAACGTCGACACAACAAACGAACTTTCGTTTTTCAAGTTCTCGAAGGAAGCACATGAAAACTACGGATGTTCAAACTATGTACAGGATGTCCCACGTAACTTTAGCCAGAGTTTAAAAATATGCCAGAACACGTAATTACGACGCGAACAAACGCATGTTGCTCATTGTTGCCTGGAGTTAGTCTGACTACTTTTTGTGTTCTCAAATATTGTTTAATTAAATATGTTTAATAACTAACTTTTCAAAATAGATAAAAATTTTAATGAGAAAGTTGTAGATCGGTTTGCAAAACGTCCGATTAGACAGTTTTGAGCTTTATATCTGTTAGTATTCGTGTTTTTCTGCGAATTACAAACACTCGTCAAATACAAAAATACCATGTGACAAACCCGCTTAAGCGTCAGTGCACACGATAGTTCTAGTGCTCCTTAACGTTCCGCGTATGAACGACACGCTTCCCTCGCACTGGTTCATGACAGCGATAAGCAGTCACAGTGGTTATCGTTTTTGTGACCGATAGCAATACGTGTTCATCGTAAAGCCATCACCATGGTTGCGGCCCTGCAAAGACAGCACAATGGGGCAAATGCTATGGTCATTCGTGTGCGGAACGTTAGGGAGCACTGGAATCATTGTGCGCACTGGCGCACGAGTGAGTTTGTCACGTGTCAAATATTTTTGTATTTCACCGGTTTGTGTAATTACCAGAGAAGACACTAATACCTAACAGATATAAAGTTGAAAACTTTCTAATCGGACTGTTTTGAAAGCTGATATAAATATTCTCTTTGAATTTTTATGTATACCTTCGTTTCTTGAAAAGGTACTTAATTAAACATATCTAATTAAAAAATATTTCAAAACACAAAATATTGCGACTGACTCCAGGCAACGGTGACCAACATGTGTCTGGTCGCGTCATAATTACGTGTTCCGGCATATTTTTAAACTCTGGCTAAAATTACGTGGGACACCCTGTGTATGTTATACACGCATCGTGGTTACTGCAACAATGGTAAACATTTTCTAATATGTTCAGTTACCGTACTAAGGACATTTAATGATATATATTTTTCTGGCTATCATAGTGAAAGTTTACTATTATTTACGCAATTTTATATAGGTCGTCGTATCGCAAAATAAATGTATATATCAAAACTATTGAACCTCTAATCAGACACTACTTGCAGGAGCAGCCTCGATGACGCCATTCGCATAATGTTTTTACTGTATTTTCAGTTAATTGGAACAGCCCACCTTTCAATACCGCAATCACATTACAAACGACGGTGTATTACATGCGCCATAGGTGAGCCAAGAGAGACGTATGTGCGATGAAAACGTAGACTAGAGTGTTTCCAGCTGTTTTTCTTGGTTATGTTTTGAAGTCGAGGTTATTCAGTAATAGCAATGTTCAGTGGTAAATCAAAGTTTTGCCTCTATGAAGTTTGGGCACTGTTTCCAACCAGAAATATGACCCTATCATCGGCTGTGAACGAAAGATTTCGTGAAAATTGAGTAAAAGTACAAAATACTGGGACTAAAGCAATGATCAATGCGCGAATATCAGTGACCCACGCCAAAACCTAAAAAGGCTAATAATACAAAGTGGGGCAATTCATCGAAAGGATAGCCCTTGATGAATAGGGAAGGGACTTGAAAATTCCGTTTCAGCAGTAAAACACCAGTATTTAAAAGTTGTTTCAATGTCTTTAAAAATAAACTGATTTATTGCGGCATAAATTCCAGGCGTTTTCTTCCTCCAACAAATACACTTATATTTAACGGCCAACAAACATTTTGGTCGTGCGCTAGGGTGAACTAACCCTTCCTGAAGAAAGAAATATCGAAATCGTTGCATGTGAAGGTATTTCATGCTCAGTCCTTTTTTCTAGTTCTGTAACACACCTGATCAAAGATACTTGCCGTTATCGACCTCATAACTGACTGTAGCTTAAAAGCCGCAGAACTGCAATAGCACGGAAAGTATCTTCGCAGATGAGAATCTAGGAATACCGAGTGCGTGCACCTGATATTCGGGACTGGGAAGAGGATCCCTGAGCAAATAATGCAAGAGCATGTTGATGTTCATGGAGCTTATCCTAATACTTAAGACAAGAAAACAAAAGAGGAAAATGAATTGAGTTGTGTGTGGGCGAAATGCATCGCAATGGGATGATGACATGTTGGCAAAGCAGGAAACGGCAAGAATGCGTGACCAGATGCATGTTTGATGTAAAAGTGGAGCCGGCCCGTTGAAAAAAAAAAAAGGATGAAAAGCTTCTTGGCATAGGCAGGACAAGAACAAGAGACCATACTAAGCAAAGAAAATTGACCTGCTTAAGGAATATAGATTATTATCTCAGGTGAGATCGAGGTGGAAATCGGTAGAGTGCTTGTATTGGGATCGATAGTAGCTTGTCTGCTTTGCAAGTAGGTTGGGGGCATCTTCATCTTCTGTCGGTCGGTTGTCCATAGCTAAAACGTATTAGTTTATGCAGATGTTTCACGGCAGCATCTGTCATCGCTTTCTTGCGTAGACTAGCTGCATCATAAACTAACCCTTGAAAACATACGAAAGCAGCTTTCCTTGAACACTACTGGCTGGAACATGAAATTATGTAGCAGGAACGCTTTCTCTGTTGTGCGCTTTTTTTATAGCACAAGAAAGCCGCAGCAAAATAATCCTGGCCTGCATGATATAATGTCTTTTTCTTTCATGCGTTTTGGTTTGGGCACACCGAAACATTTGTTACTTTTTTATGTAATGCGGATGCTGCTTTCTAAAAAAAGCACACTTCAGGTGAATGCCTTGTGTAACTGCTTTAGAAAAGAGCATGAATTATTTAGCAGCTCTTATTTATAAAACTTTCATTCCTAAAATGGTTGTTGTCACTTGAAGAAGAAAGTCCATTACTCTATCCCATAAGCCGAACGGGCAGCCGGCGAAGCGAAACAGCTCTGTTTAGAAGTTTCCGGGCTGGCTTGCTTTGTTATGCGGTCTGCCAAGAGTTATTTTACGCGAGATGCATGAAGTGGACAAGCGATAGCAATGCACGAAAGGCCAGCGTACGCTCTGCTTCAAGAAAGAGCAACGAAGAAGCACATTCGAGCACGAAAAAAGACAAGAGGCTGAGTTACTGCAGCAAGAAGTTCAAGACTAGCGCGACTGTCTACTCCAATGAGATTGGAAACAAGGTGAGAGGTGTGCTTTTGTAGTGATGAAAACGTACCAAAGGTGATGCCGAAGGCACTGGCCAGGTGCGTGTACAGTACCATATTGTAGCTCTTTCTATAGCAAGCTGCTTGTATATACGTGTTTGAATTTTCATTACCTTGATACGTCTATTCGATATACGTTACCAGGGCATCTAGTGTTGGGCCCATACAGTTCATCTCTAGCTCAAACAGAGTTGATCGCTCTCCACTTTCCGAATAAGAATTATATAGACCATTCCCTGGTCTGATTGTGGGCTGTCAGGGTGATGTTTTTCTCTTTTATTCCCTGTGCGAACGTCTGACTCTTGAATGCGAGTGCATTACAGCATAGAGTTTTCTCATATACACTAGAGGGAACTGTGGCACTAGTGTCTATGAGAGCTGCAACGCACGGCGCTTCAGCGAGCATGGGAATGATGGGTAGTACACAGATTTGTGAAATGTTTGTACTTCTGACCTGCTTCTGGCTCCGTGTGTGTTCGTCTGGTTTGGAGTTATTTTCTCAAGAAACAAAAATCAGCAAATCTTCAGTGGTTGTTCTTCACCACCTTAATGCTTTAGGCTGACCTTTTGAAATCGGGTCACGAAGTTCAAATGGGTTTGGTCTTTCATTCGAAGCGAAACCAAAAACACAACAATAAACGACGCCACAAGTGCGATTCGTCGCCCGCAAGTATGAAGACTAGGCAAATCTCTGTACTAACCATTATTCAGATGGTCGCTGGACGATCGCCACGCCAGACTTCCCTCTAGTTAATTTTAGGAAACTCAATGCATTGCAGGATACAACATATTCAAAAGAGCCACAAAAGAGCAAAACGCTTTTTGGCATATTACTGAAAAACAATATCAGAATTTCGAAAACGCTACTCTTACCGCAACCCTTGCTAAGCGAGAGAAAAAGCGAAAAAGAAACTGTAGGTGCAGACGCCGCCTTGAGTTTGCCGCACCAAACACTGTGACGTCATCAACCTATGAAGGCACCTACTGGGTCTTACGTAACATCTAGTCGACAAAATGAGAAACGAATTGCAATCTGTGGGTGCCAGATACACAGCTTGCGAAATTTCAGACAATTTCATTGAACCAGTGTCGTGAAAATACGAAGAACACACTGTGGAACTACTTACGGCACGCGTGGAGATAACTGCGCGACATTTAAGAATGAAACTTTACCCTTAGTTTTTTCTCCACCAACAATGAGCTTATGACAATGAAGCATACGACAGTGGAGTTCTCAGAGGGCAGTTCATCAATCTGAAACAACTCATTATTTTTCTTTAGTGCCAGGCTTTTAACACATGTCTCTGCTCAGGATTGTTACAGCATCAGAATTTTCTTTTGATGGCATCGCAGGTAGGTACTTTGAGCACTGATCAATGCACACCAGCGAGGATTGTGTTTTTTTAATTCTTTTTGTATGGTGGTCATCACAGAATATTTCTGGGTCTGTTTGAAGTATTTAAAGTAATGAAAAAATACTGCTCAAGACCTCAAGACCATGAGCTACACGCCAAAAACCGTGTAACAAAAATTGCAGTCATTTCTAAGGCTTCCGGGATGAAAGTAGCGCCCGTTCTCTACTCTTGTCTTGTGATTTTATTTTTGCGTTGAAAAAT